GACTATTAATGCGGATGTTGACCCTTTCCCATAGATCTATCAGTCTAAGTGAGTTGTAAAACTGTGTGATGGTTTATTCCTTACACTTTTCAGGTGAAATGCAAGCAAGGCTAGGAATTGATTCGATATGGGTCTACCAGATATTTAGGTACGAGGTATCAGCTGTTTCCGACATCCTCTGACGAATATATAGAGGGATTGATGTCTCCGAAGGTATACTCGGTTTGTATCAGGTCATAGATTGATTTCTAAAAACAAGAACAGTGAAGGAGAAAGCGTCCATCCCGAAGAGTATGCTGGCTTCGAAGAATCTTCCGAAGCCTATCAGGAACGATGCAGATATGGTTCAGTGGAGTCGAGTTTTGTGCTCCGAGCTAGCGGTGCGGGCTTTGGAAATCAGAGAAACCTGGTTGATTTGGCCAAAGTCCATAGTATTGCGTACTAGGCAAGGTAAGTTCTCATTTAAGATGTCGGAAATGCTTCAAACAATGTGATTACAGCTGGTGAGAAAACCGGCAAGTCAAAACAAGCGCCGTTTCCCTATGTCCGCGAGCTTACAGGGGAGCTAATCGGTAAAGCAGTTATGAAACTGTGGAAAGAACTATATGGAACAGACGCTCAGCGCGCAGGGCATCCTTACCCCGCCAATTTGAAGATTATTCACATAGGCATTGCATTCACGGGGTTAGAACCGCTGGCTCCAGGACAGAGAGCTATAGACGGCTTCCTTTCAAAGTCGACACGCACACCGCTAATCTCAGGGAATGGTGATGATGTAGTTAAAGAGGAAATCGTCGAGGAAATACCCAAAGATGAACAACTCGAATACGTCTGTCCCGAATGCGCAAAAAAAATCAAATATACCGTATTATCAAATGATCACGAAGAACTACGAGCGACCAAACTACTAGCTGTAAAGTCAGAACACGAAGATTTTCACTTTGCACAAAGGCTAGCTCGAGAACACACAGTTGTTGTGGGAAGTGGCGTCCGTAAACGTCGACGGAGTACCAGTCCACCTATTCAGACTAAAGGAAGGAAGGATGAAGGTATAAAACGCTATTTCCAAAAGAAGTGGTACGTATAGTCGTTTCAGTGATCCAAATCTAATACAAATACCTAGATACGGAGTGTCTATCGTTATTCGTTATTTGTATCTCTGTTAATTTACACCAATATATTACAATTAGCTACAAATAGTGTGTCTATGGGTGTAAGATATCATGCAATGTCAACGGCAATAGGACTCTTGGATTTCTTTGTCGCTGCTCGTTTTCCGGTTTGCTTCGGCGGTGGCTTAGGGGCTGGCTGTTCCACCGGTGGAAGGTCATCAGCGTACACCAATTTTGTGACGATGACGTCTATTTTCTTCAAATCGGCTATCGGGACATCTGCATCAGGTACATTGCCCAAGGGGTCAAGAAGAACCTAAAGGAGTATGTCAGTGAATAAACCAGTGATCATCATTTTACTTACTCGAGTAGTTAAACAGCTCTTGGCTATGGTCTTCGTTCTGGCTATCTCAGCACTCTTCTTAATACCTTCCAAGTCCGATTGATCCATCTCGAATCGTTGTAATAGGTCGACGTTCCACTTCACTCTCCTCTTGGCTTTTTCGTTTGGTTCATCGACTTCCATTCGTTCCTGTTCTCGGATCTTCGCAGGCGTTCGGTAGTCCTCGTCATCTCCAGCCGCTCTTGGATGCTTGCGAGGCGCGGCGGAATCTTCCATTTCTTCATCACCATCGCCCGAAGCGATTCGACGTCTGGCAGCACGTTCTCCTCTGCTCTTATCTTTCTCCTCCTTTTGCTTGTCCAACAATGTCCGCACTTTGCTAGTAGGACTGGCAGGTCTTTTCCCTTCCTTCATGATAATTTGGGTTTCCATCTGTGAGCATAGGTATTGCTGATTCCGTAATGTGTTCGATGTTGTCAAGTTCCGTAGAGAAGTGGGGTCTAAGGGCATCATCATTGGCCTGATAAGAGTATTCTTGCCTCGCCCCTTCGGACGTGCTGTCGAAGGAAATATCCCGAGGGAAGGTGCTGTAGCAGTGAATACAGGAATAGTAGGGGATGGGGCTTCGGCTTCTTGCTTTAGTCGACGGGCCTCGTCCCGTAATAATAAGCCAGACCTTGGTGGACTTAGGCCGGACTCGATGGGTGGAGAGGCGCGAACAGAGACAATAGAGTCCTCCCCTTCTATTACGATAGGTTCTTGATCGGTATTTGTCATGGGCTCGGGTGTAGCTAGTCGAGGAGCCTCCTTTGGAGGACGAGGTTGGAGAATGATGATATCTGGAGGCAATTCGTTTGACACAGTGTTCGTACTCCGGGGTTTGGGAGCAATGGCTGCAGCGGCGTTTAGTCTCGCCCTACGAGTCTTGATAGGCGACATCGATATTTCAGGTACCTATCACGAGAATGTATGTGAGCATACAAGGCATGGGAGTCAACAGAAGAGAGCAACGCACCGATTGTGGAGGTGTTGTCGTGACCGTCGTAGTTGTGGCAGTTGTGGTCGACCCGAGCTTAGTCAAAGCCTTGGGTTTAGGAAGCCTGGAGACGGGCTTTGCATAAGGTTTCTTTCCAGGTCGGGGGATTTTACTGGCAGCACCAGTCAAAGTGTTTCTTAGATTCGATGGCTGCCGGAGCTGAGATGTGTTAGGAGATAAGATGTTTGGTGGGGATGTAAGAGAGCTGGTCATAGAGCTATTTGCTTCTATGTTGGAAGTCCCGCTAGTATTGGATAAACCATCACACAGTTTTACAACTCACTTAGACTGATAGATCTATGGGAAAGGGTCAACATCCGCATTAATAGTC